TGGCACTTATGTTCCATATAACTACACTCGAGCAAAAGTCTTTCCCACTCTTTATTTCTATACTATCATACTTTGCATCAAATTTATTGTCGAGTAAAGATATGACATAAGAGTTTTATTTCAATATAGTATAGACCCCACTACAATAAAACTCTTATGTTATATCTTTATTTGGTTATAAATTTGATGCAAAGTATAATAACATAGAAACAAAGAGGTAGAAAGACTTTTATCCGGGGGACGGGGTATAAATAACTTAAAGAAAGAAAATTAAACCTTTTTCAGTCAAATTTATTTAAGTAAGTTGCTTATGTTGAGGATTGGCTCGTATAAATAGAATTGGTTTAAAATGAAATGTACCACCAGCTTAGTTATTAGTTTCTAGCTACTTTGAAGGAATATGGTTATCTGCGAAGAAACATTGTGTAGAAAAAGAGCGATTGAATAAACGTTGAGAGTGATTTTAGAATCTTTTGTGTCTGTTTTGAAAAGCAACTAGGCATCTTTATGCGAAAAAGAAATATGTCCTCATACATAGGAGGGGTATTTCATAAAAAACATCTCATTGCAAATCCTTAAAGATATATTCTTTCCAATTATGAATGAGAACTTCCATGATAAGAACATGTCAGAATTTCTAGAAGAAAGTGCACAGACGAAGCGAAGTATTAACTAATGGAAAGCGGGTTTTTACCAAAGATGTTCTTATTTCAGAAAGATCTCGCCATGTGTGACACGTTTGGATGTGCACTTCGTTAATTAGTTCCTATAATCTTTGGAACGAATATTTTCTCAAAGGAAATCTAACAAGTGTCTTCACATTACACTGCAAAGAAGCATTAAAATGACCTCAAGACACGCTTTTTTATACAGAAAACTTTTTTTTATTAACTACTCTTTCCTATTAGCTTTTTCTCATGAGTTGTCCAACTCAGGGCTAACATGCTGCTAAGACGATGAAAGCAAAATATTGTCCATCCTAAAAAAACCTTATATATTAACATATACATAAATGCTAAAAAAATCAAAAAGCTTTAGAAATCATTAAAACGAACAATTTTCGCAGGGGGTTTTCTAAACTGTCTTTTGCTGCGTTTGTCTAAGAGGGTCTTCTACTATGGGGAGGTCTTCTAATGTGTCGAGGGCTTTACTCAATGTGTACTCTGAAACTACACCAACCCGGGTTCCATTCAAGTATCAGCAGTGGAGATCGAACCCTCCTAAAATGGTGATTTTGTGGAAGATCTCTTGAGCAGTAGGAACTATGTAGAAAGCTGAAATTTTTACCGGACTATGTATTCATTGAGAGAGTGTGGGTATGGGTGGGTGGGATGTGGCTGTGGCTGTGGGTGTTCGTCTGAGTGTGGGTAACCGTAGACTGGGATAACCACACCTACATCTACCCACGCCCACACCCACACCCACACCCACATCCATACCCTGTATAACACATAGCAAAAAGGTATTGTATACAAACATCGGTCATCGATAGACATGATCAATAAATAACAAATATAAGTTCATACATAAGTAAACGACTTGTTGCTTATTGACCTAAAAGGCTAGCTGCTCATTGACTGATGACTAACGTGAGTGAAACAAACAAAGGAAAAGCGTAAAATTCTTCATAACATTGATATTAACTTAATGAAACATTTCGGCGTGGAATAAATAAATTTCATTAAAAAACTGTTCAAACATTAACTATTATGTTTTTCGAGTTCGAACGAGCTTGGGATTTTTCATACAGATTTACGAAATAACCAATATTCATATTTCTGATAAAATATGGCCATCGAAAACAAGCCAGCTTCATTGGTTTCTCTCTAAATTTTCCATCAGAGCTCGAAAACGAATGGAACTGAACCGAGCCGAGTCCGAACCTGAACCAACATTTGAGGAGTCCACGAGAATTTAAAGTTATCCTGTTTTGCTTTTCTATGCATGATTTACTCCCTTTAGTCCCTTTAGTTCCTTTACTTCTTTTAGTCCCTTTAGTCCTTTTAGTACCTTTAGTCCCTTTAGTCCCTTTAGTTCCTTTAGTTCCTTTAGTCCCTTTAGTCCCTTTAGCTCCTTTAGTTCATTTAGTCTCTTTAGTCCCTTTAGTCCCTTTAGGGGTGGATGTGGGGTGTGGGTATGGATCTTGGTACCCGTGTTAGCATAGAGAAGACTCATGCACAACCACACCCACACACATCCACACTCACACCCATACCCACACCCACACACATCCACACTCACACCTATACCCACACCGACATCCACACTCCACCCACACCGGACCCACACTCACACCCACATCCACACCCACACCCACACCTACACCCACACCCATACCCACACCCACACCCTAAAGGGACTAAAAGGATTAAAGGGTCTAAAAGGACTAAAGGGACTAAAGGGAGTAAATAATGTATAGAAAAGTAAAACAGGATCACTTTAAATTCTCGTGGACCTATGCAACATTTTGAAAACTGAATCGAACCGCACACTAAGTTAAAATGTGTCGGATGTGTCGTGGTTTACGACACAATGCACGGCACATTGAAGCACGACACGAGGTGCTCGTTGCGACACATTTTCACCAGCAAGATCACGACACATTTTTTACGATACATCCGACACATTTTTGATTGGTTCTTTTGAAACAGCATTTTTTGATTTTTTTTTCAATTTATTTCCATTTATTTATTGATATTCTGAATAATTCAGACAGGTCCTATCCTGAGATCTGGTCGATCTCCAGCCGGTCCGATTTGCATCAGACTATTTCAGGGTAGTCCTCTCTTGATCATGGATCGAAATTGGCATTTTCTCGATTAAAAAATGATCAAAAAACAATCTAGAAAAGAAGAATGTTTCTAAAACTTATCTTTCATACGTTCAGTCGCGTTGTTTATATATCGCCATGTGCGCATAACAGAACGGTGAATGAATAGTCGACGGACAGAACGCGACAAATTATATACGACACTTTTTTGTGCTGGAGCGCACAACACAATAAATCACGACACATAAACACGACGCATTTAAACTTAGTGTGCGAACCGGACCTGAATCGGACGATCTCGGTTCGGTTCGGATCTGTGCCAGTTCTAAGGTCTGAAAAGTCATCATATATACTCGATCAAGTGCTCTCATTTCTTCCAAAGAAGTCATTTCTTGATGTGTAATTAAAATAAGTGAATGTCAACAATTAAAATAGTAAAATACAGCTTGTATTAACTATTTTTTTATTAGCCCGAACCGAACTTACGTGGTTCGTGTTGGTTTTAATCGAACCGAACCGAATTGAAACTGAAAAATTTCGGTTCGTTTCGAGATGTTTTCCATGAACTAAATACGCTCCAAAAATTTCAGATTTCATGAGATTTCATGAAGCTTCATGGGACTTCAAAAGACTTCGGAAGATTTCACAAGACTTCACGAAACTTCACTAAAATTTCGGAGACTTCAGGAGACTGCAAGGACTTCAAAAGACTTCAGAACACTTCAAAAGATTTTACGAGACTTCGAAAGTCTTCAAAGACTTTCAAAACTTCATCAGACTTCATGAGCAAAATCTCTGCTGTTTTCCCCTTGAGTATCTTCGAATAATAGGACATGAGGGCCTACGGATACCTTCATATAATAGGAGATGAGGATCCAAGAGTATCTTCGAATAATAGGACGTGAAGGCCTAAGGATACCTTCATATAATAGAAGATGAGGACCCAAGGGTATCTTCATATAATAGGACATGAGGAGCTAAAGGTAACTTCATATAATAGGAGATGAGGACCAAAGTGTATTTTCTTTAAAAGACACGCTCACGCTCATGAGCCCTCATATGAGCGTGAGCGTGAACGACTACCGCTCACCCTCAAGTGAGCGGTAACAGCGCTCACGCTCATCGTGAGCGCGAGCGAAAAACGCTCACCGCTCGTGAGCGTGAGCTGTACACCCCTAGACCCACACTCACATCCATACCCTTGTATATATTGTATATTTGCACATTCACTATTGTTACTGTTGGTATATAATTTAGATCTTTTGTAATTATAAATAAATATTCAGTTACATTGTAATGTCAAGGGGTCACCTTTTTTGCACTCCGTACTATTTTCACACTTATACGTTCAACAGTCTCGGAATGTTGACTCTCTGTTAATGCAGATTCCGACAAGATCTGTCAATAATCGATCAATAAGACATTGAAGAGATGATTAGAATATCATTTGATATTTTATGTTTGATACAAAAACTATAATTGACTATAATGCAAAAGACAAGATTAAAAGTTTTTGAAAGAGAATTATATTCGATGTCATGGTAACCAATGGTGATTTTCCGGTCAGACATTGAACTATTACGTAATTATGAACATCTGTTTCTTCAAATGTTTCTAAAGATAAAAACGTCGATAACAGCAGTATTTTAACATGACCTTGAAAATAATCCATAATTATCACCCTTATAGCACTTTTTCATTTTGTTTCTTTTATTTAAAATAAATAAGCCGTCTAACGACGTGAGTTCTCCTTCTTTTCCTTGCTGCTCACATGATAGTTGATCCTTGAAAGAACTGTTATTAGTAGTGAAGATTATTACTATTAAAATGTTGTCACGAGTTGATGAAGCATTGTATTTCTGTCCACCTATAATTTTATTAACAAAAAATTTATTATTTTTCTATACAGAAAATTTCTTTTTATAAAAGAAGACACCTCTATGTATTGTTGTTATTTATCAGTCGTATAATCGAATAGTAACTAGGGGTGTCAGTTTCGGATTCCTATGAACCCGGAACCTATGTGAGTTCCCGAGTTTCTGAGAATCCAGGAATGCGTACTAATTTTGTGCGAAAAGGTCTTGAAAGGCTGTGTGAATATTCTATTATGTTCAGAAATGCATAAAAATGGATTGTGAAGTGGGTTCCCGGGAGCGGGGGACCCTGACACCTTTAATAATAACACCTAAGATTTTCTACATACAATTTTAGTAATTACTGGAAATTTCAAATGGCAACAAATGCAACAACACCATTACGGGAAAACCTGATTGTGAATCGCATCAACGACGATAACTTTAAATCATGTACTTGTAAAATCTGCAATCGTCAAGCTGAAGAGTCTGACCGACATTCAAATAAATTATATCCTTGTGGTCGTTTAGTTCGTCGTCATAGTTTCAATGGGAAAATTGTACAAGAAGGAGGAAACCCTCCCGATGAATATGATATTTCAGCTCATTCTGCTAAAGTTCCTGTTACTGGGTTTGGAAGACTAAAATCTAATGGTTGCAAATTTCTTCGAATAGATACTCGAACAAAAGAAGAAGTCATCTACGAATTACTTGTTGATGATTGTGGAGGAAAAGAATTCAAGCCATCTCTAATTTTAAGTATTTATGGTGGTGCAAAATACTTTACAATGACAGAAAAACTTGAGAAAGAAATTGTACAAGGCATAATTGATGCGGCTACTTCAGCCAGTAATCAATATAATTGATCACTACTGGGTACTTCCACGCAGCTCCGCCCACTTTTTACAGCACATTCTGCCGGCAAGATTTAAGCATGCTAGTTTTGTAGCCCTCGTTGAGTTATGTAGAAAATAGTATTCAGTTTTGACTCAAGTTATGCGCTAACAGCAACAGAGTAGGTCCAAAAGTCGATTTTATGAAAAAATAGCCCCCAAAATCGGTCTGTTTTATTCTTCATGGGCGTTCCTTGGAATTTTTGATTTCAGCATTGGATAGAGCATAAAAAGTTGTCTATATAAAATAATTTTCAGAATTATATCTCTAGAACTCATTGTTTGGGAGCATTTGCAAATTTGGAAAAAAATGGCACTTTATGCTTAAATTGAACTGCTTATAAAATTTATACATTCAGTCAGAGACCCCAATATATTATAATCAAAATGAAGCTTATACTCTTCTTATTCAAACGTACTATGGCAAGTTTCTTCAAAGCATTCTAAACTCTAGATAAAGAGGTCTAAAGGGGATGGGGGTCCCAAAAATCGTCATGTTGGGACCCGGTTTTCTCAAAAACTAAACGCCAGAATTTCTTGAAATTTTTTTTCTGAATAGACCTAAGTGGACACTACTAGTGATTAAAATATTAGACTTCTCCTTTCAGAATTGTAGGAGATAGAGCTCTTTCAAGTTAGTCCAAATTTTGGTGTTTTTCAAGAAATCCCTGAGGGGGACCCCAGGTAGTCGGAAAAATTGTATTTTCGAATTTTGAACCAAAACTTTCCGTACACAGAGGCCTCACCTAGACTAGCTTGCACAGAAAAATTCAGAAGTTTTGAACCAAGTTTCATCAAGATATGAAGCTTCATCTTTAGAAAAGGACTTCTATGGTAGAAGGTCCATATCTTGGAAAACTTCGTTCGAAACTTCTGAATTCTTCTGTAAAAGCTAGTCTAGTTGAGGCCTCTATATACACAAAGTTTCGAGTCAAAATTCGAAAATACGATTTTTACAAATTCCTGGGGTCCCCCTCAGGGATTTCTTGAAAAACACCAAAATTTGGACTAACTTGAAAGAGCTCTATCTCCTACAATTCTGAAAGGAGAAGTCTAATATTTTAATCACTAGTAGTGTCCACTTAGGTCTATTCAGAAAAAAAATTTCAAGAAAATCTGGCGTTTAGTTTTTGAGAAAACTGGTTCCTAACATGACGATTTTTGGGACCCCCATCCCCTTTAGACCTCTTTATCTAGAGTTTAGAATGCTTTGAAGAAACTTGCCATAGTACGTTTGAATAAGAAGAGTATAAGCTTCATTTTGATTATAATATATTGGGGTCTCTGACTGAATGTATAAATTTTATAAGCAGTTCAATTTAAGCATAAAGTGCCATTTTCCCCAAATTTGCAAATGCTCTCAAACAATCAGTTCAAGAGATATAACTCTGAAAATTATTTTATATAGACAAACTTTTATGCTCTATCCAATGGTGAAATCAAAAATTCCAAAGAACGTCCATGAAGAATGAAACAGACGGATTTCGGGGGCTATTTTTTCACAAAATCGACTTTTGGACCTACTCTGCTGCTGTTAGCGCATAACTTGAGTCATAACTGAATATCGTTTTCCACACAACTCGACGAGGACTACAAAACTAGCATGCTTAAATCTTGCCGGGAGAATGTCGATGTAAAAGTGGGCGGAGCTGCGTGGAAGCACCCTACTTTACATTGACGAATGTTTTTAGATGCTTGGGTTTTGACTGCTGGTATCAATAATGGTGTATCAAAATTGGTTGGTGAAGCGATTTCGCATTACGGTGTATTGAGTGCCTGTCCAAAAAAAGTGAAATGTATTGGATTAACTACGTGGGATACAATGAATGAAAGCACACGCTTGGAACTTAAGCACTCAGCTAAAGTAAGTAGATTAAAAAGTTTCTTAAAGACTAAATAATTACATGATGCAATCTTGTACGATAACGCTATCCATTGGGCTTACTTTATCGACAGATTTCTGATAATCTTGAAGAAGATAAAGAAACAATTGAAAAGAATCACACACATTGTATTCTATTTGATGGTGGACAATTGAATACATATCTTGATGATTCACATCGTCACAAATTAGTCACTCACGCCTGTGCACAACAAGATCATACATGTGAGCACTATTCTATATTGTTCATTTAAGGATGATGATTTGTAATTGAAAATATTTCCAGGTCATGCTGTAACACTCATTATTGAAGGAGGTGTAAAAACTCTCGAGGTTATTAGAAATGATATTGATGCACAAAGACCAATTGTACTCATTCAAGTTTGTATTTTACATTTTTCGTTACAACTATTTTATTGAGATATTAGGGTAGTGGACGTTTAGCTGACATGCTTGCTAAACTAATTAAACAGACTTCTAACTTTGAGCAAAATCAACTAAGGTTAAATAAGATAATGTATTGTTATTGTTTTTATTGGGGATGCTTGTTATTAAAGGGATCTAAACGACAAAATTAACCAAGCTATAGACCAATTTTTTCCTAATCTCAACTATTCAGATATATCTGAAATATGGCCGAAGATTCGATATATCTTAGCTAGAGATCATCGTCATCTATTGAATGTCTTCTCATTGGATCGTGATAATACTGCAGCAGAAACAATTTTCAAGGCCATTTTTAATGGTATTTATTCAAAAATAGAGATATACATAACAAATTTTAATTCATTTACTTTCGTTTGAAAGTGCAAATGAAAAAGAACAAGACGGAGAATAGTAGCAATACAGAAAATCCAGAACAACGTCGAAGGGATGAAGATATATTAGTAGATTTAGCCATTGAATGGAACTATCTTGATGGCGTTTTACCTATTTTACAATCACGAAAGGATTTACAAATGGAGAAGACACAAGAATTAATTACGGTAAAATTATAATTATCAAACACATTTTATTTCATATCCTCTTTATTATAGGAGGATATGAAACGTGAAAAAGAACTATTTAAAAAATGTTTGAAAAAGAATCGTCCAGCATTTATTCAATATTTCCTTATGTCTGGATTCGATCCACTTACTTTAATAAATAACAAAGATATATCTTCTTATCAAACAGTCATTTTAGATTTCTATAAATATAGTCATTGTCATATGACTGAAGTATGTTTATTAATCATTCTTTCATGCTGATAAAACTGCTTTTTCTTAATAAAGAGCCATGCAGACCGCGTAGAAACATTATTTGGCGAATCATTTAAAATAACATTGGAAACACTTGATGAGAAATTAAATAAATTTGTTGGTGCATTTATTGAACCGATTTATTCAGCGACAAATCATGATTGTATTAGACGTGTTTGTATTGATATGAAACTTCACCTATGTGGTAACTGCAGATCTGAAAAACACGATTTCAAACGACACGATTGCAAACAACAAGATGACGAGACCAAACCAGTCGGCGACCATAATAATCAGGTTGAGAATAATGTATCAAAATATACTAAAGATAAATTTTTACGTGATCTTTTCTTGTGGTCTATTTTCATGGATATGCCTGAAATGGCAAAAATATTTCTTGTTCATCTACCATCACGTATTTGTGCTGCTTTGATAGCTTCAGCTATATTTAAACGATATTCTAAAGCATCAACAAGTACTTATATGAAAGAAAAATTCCAAAATCAATCACTTGAATTTGAAGAAAATGCAGTAAGATTTATTGATAAATGTTATGAATATAATGAAAGATTAGCTTGTGAATTACTTTTGAGAAAAGTACCGCTTTTTGGAAATGTTACATGCATGCAGGTTAGTCATCTTGAACACCTTCTTGCGTATTAGATATGACTCTATTGAATGATAAATTTAGGTTGCTATTTCAAGTGAATGTGGAAAATTAGTTGGAACACATTGTTTTGATCAAGCAGTGAATCAAGTATGGTGCAACAAATTATCTATTACAAACCAACAGACATCTGCAAAACCGTCGCTACTATTTTCAATATTATCCTTTGGTTTATTAGCACCGATTTTTGTTAATTATCGAAAGGATAAAACTGTATGTAAATGAATATTTTTCGAAGTAAAGATTTTTATTTAATTTAAATTTTAGAGAACAGAGGATGAATTGTGAGCAGATACCCCTTCTGTGATAAAACTGTTTTTTTTTTCATAAATCATCTTTTTCATAGATTATCGTCAGAAGGAATCAATTATTATACAGATATAAAATCAACCAAAATCGAATCATTCACCGAATATTGGTCAAAATTTAAATATTTTCATCAAAGTCCTATGATAAAAATGTGTTATCATTTTGTAAGGAAATCTTGTGTCTGATGAATTAAGATTACTATTGTGTATTATTTAGATTAGTTACATTTGGTTTTTACTTGTCTTTAGTTATATGATGCTTTATCATCTTGATAGTCCATCTACATTTACAATTCCTCATTGGACTGAAATTTATGTCATTATAACAATATTTACAATGTCTTGTGAAGAAGTTCGAAAAGTAAAATTCATTTTTTTTTGTTTTATACAGAAAAAAAAATCTTTCTCTTCTTTAATAAAGTTATGTCATGAATATAAAAAACGAATGATTGAACGATGGGGTTCTACAAGATCCAGTCTTCTCACTGTTTTAATACATATGTTCTATTTTACACCATATATTCTGTTTTATCTTGGTCTTGAATTTCGATACGTTCATAATGACAATATCCTCACTATTACAAGGTTTTTTTTCAATAGTTTGTACAGTAGTTTAGCATTCATGTGATTATAGAATCATTTGGGCATTTGATCTTGAACTATGGTACCTTCGATCACTTAAGTTCGTCATTGCTCTCAAATCTATTGGTCCAAAATTGTTTATGCTTAAAAATATGGTTTGTTTAGTTTTTGTATTTATAATACAAAAATAAATTTGATGAAAATATAGTTTCGAGCTCTAGTTGGATTTGTCTATATGATTTTCATAGCCATAGCTGCATATGGTGTTGTATCAAGAGCATTAATCTGTTATAAACAAGTTCCATTTATTTTTACTGATATAGTGAAAGAAATATTTTATGAACCATATTGGTTTATCTATGGAGAATTTTCTGATAAAAAGTTACTTGATGGTAAACATATTTGTTTAAAGCTATTTTAGTTTATTTGATTGAATAATATAGATAAAGCTAATAATGATACATCATCAGTTGTAACAGAAGCAACAGCTACACAGTTTTTATTAGCATTTCATATGTTATTTATTAATATTCTCATACTCAATTTATTAATTGCTGTTTTTACGTAAGTATCAAGTATTTATCATTATAATGAATTCATTATTGAATATAGTCATACGATTGATCAAGTTCAAGAAAATACCGAATTTTATTGGCGTTATCAACATTATGCATTTGTTCGAGAATATTTCGAGCGTCCTCTACTTGCTTATCCATCATTAATTATTATTCCACATATTATAATAGTTTGTCGTGCTCTGCTGCATAGATGTTGTCCGAAATTATGTCAAAATCGAGTTTATGAGAAAAATCATCAATCAAAATTAATGCACATGACATATGTTTTCAGTAAGATTGTCAATAAGTGTCACATTTGTATTGATCAATATATAAAAATAATATAGAAATGATACCGAAGAATCCAATCCAGCAGAATGATCGATGGAATGCATTTGAAAGTGCTGCAACACATAATGAGACTCGGTCAATAATAGCACAGAATAAAACAAAAAGGGTTTTAACAACTGATGATATGTATTCAAAGAGCATAATGGATACTACTGAGTATGGCTACTGCTTTTTTTTTATTTTAATAATAATTTTTCATAGATGTAATGTGATGAAACCAAGTTCTGATCAACAACAAATGATACGAAATGTGAGTATAAAACTGTCCACAATGAAATCAGTTCTTAATAATAATCAAAGAAATATTAAAGAGGTATACATTATTTTAAATATATTTTCATATATATATTTTGAATAAATATTGTCAAAATTCCAATGGAAATTGGACTATAAAATGTCCAGCAAAAAAAAAATTATTGTCATAATTCCGTAAGAATTTTGACAATGTTGTTGAAATTACAGTAGAATTTCAATATGTTTCGAAATTCTACTACAATTTGGACATTGTCAAAATTTCATAGAACCTCTAAAGTAGGAAATCATTTCTGAGGGAACCTCTGAATACACAAATGAAAAGTTACATACAAGAGGTAAAAGTAAAAACAATTTTTTGTTTTACTCATCAAAGTACTGTTATCTATTAAGGTAAATAAATCACTGAAACGAACCATGAATTCAATGACACGAGTAAGAACGACCACCGACTTTGACAACTCCACCATTTGATGTTGATGCACGAACATCAGCACAATCAACGACGAGTTCTAATAAATAATCATATTTAACTGTCATATCTATTTTATTCAAAATTAATTGGTAGTTTACGTTTTATTTATTTCATTATTTAAAATATACACGTATTATATCAAGAGGAATGATGAAAATAATTACCTGGTTAACTACGTAGTAAATAATGAGGATTGAATCGAATATTAGTTATTCATTAAACGATTTGTTACAAAAAAAAAGTATGTCTCCGTAACTTCATAATTCCTGTCGATAACATTGAAGTACATTCAATTGAACATAGCTATTAGATTCAATTCAGATGAGTAATCTGTTAGTCGAATCTTTTACAACTTTTCGAAATATACTCATAGATCATCAATTCTAATTAGCTAGCTTTTGTTTGATTTCAATGTATTTTACAATTAGGTTGGGATTAGGAGGAGTGTTTGGATATATATCGAGTTTACATTCGAATGGTAAGTTTTGATAATCATAATATTTGTAGATTGATCTATTGAAGGTCTAGGGGTGTGTGAATGTGGGTATTACTCTTTTTAAGCTACACCCATACCTACACTCTCAAGATGCATATCGGTCGAAAAGAACTAGATACATATCGACTATCGCGAAACAGAGTATATATTACAAATAGTTCACTCTAGGTTTAATGACAACATATCAAATTCGATAAATGAATAAGAACTCTTTAAAATCAGGAAAAGAATTTTTCAAGGTTATATTGAAGAATCACGGAAAACTTTTACTAAATTCATGATATGTAAAATTAATACTCACACACCTAATTTTACAGATATTGTTGTTTTTAAAGTTTTTCAATGGCATATCCTTGATCTATATCGAAAATGTTGATTTTGATTAAAGAAGAGTTTTTTGCCGCTCGACTTTTTTAAAATAAGGGTCTCGTTCATCTTGAATTCACATTTAAGTAGAAATTCTTTGAGATATGAAACAACAAGTTTATCATGAGAATTTTCTGACACAATGTTGTTTTTTTAACCAATAATGAAAATATGTCAAGCATTTTTCAATAGAATTGCTGAAAACAAGTAGTGAACTTCCTCATAGAGCTGTATTTTTCTTATATATATATAGATTTTATGAAGCAAAAGAAACGTATATTTGTTGCTGACATAGATTATTTAGGGTTTGTATCTGAACTTGTGTCCGATTGTAAGTGGAGGAAAGACGTTTCCTTTATATAACTATTCATACTTGCACATACCACCTGTACTCTTAGAAAGTTGCCGAACAGAATAAATTTGGAAGAAGAAAATTCAAAAGTATTTTTATGAATTTCAAGCTCAAATTGATTATGGAAAAGGAATTTTAGGATTTGAAAATGGTTGGTTCATGTGATTAGCGAAAATCCTTCCTTGTGCGAAGTCTTGACATCTGAAACCACTGAAAATCATCATTTATAAATCTCTGAGCTGAAAACTTTCTAACTAGAATTTAGAACTGTTTCATAATTTAATTCTTTGCACTGAGTGGCACATTTCAATGCTTTTAACTCTTGGTTCTGCGAGAAATTGAAACAAAAAGAAAAAGAATAAGTCCACATTTCTACCAATAGAACTGCATAAATTGTTTTTGGTTAAATATGTATGTTTTTCGTTATAAAAGAGGTTGACCTGTGACGAGTTTTTTCGATGAATCCTTTGATGAATTAATAAAGCTTCAAAAGAATAATCTTTATAGTTGCATTATAATGAATTATCGAAGTAAATTTATACGAGCCAGTATTCCGTAAATATCGGGTTTTTTTTGGGACATTCTATCAATATTATTTTTATACTAAATGAAGTTAACGGTATTGTTTGTCAGAAAAAGTATGATGGTGTGAGTGTTGGTGGGTGCGGGTGTTTTCCACCTCACATCCACGAAACCACACCCACACCTTCAGCCACACCCTCAGAATAGGTTTTAGTTGATGTTAATAATTGTTCATAAATCTCAATGATTAATAAAATAGATGTATATGAGATACTGTTATTGCATCAATTTGATCATGTTGAATATTTCGAAATGTTTCAATCATTTTTAGATATCTTTAAGCGAGAACTACATATCAAAGTACTTTGAATTCTATGCGACTGTACATTAAGAAATATCTGTATATTTTATCAATATTGTGGAATATAAATTGACTATTAGTCAAATGTTAATATAATTTTTATCGAATTTTATTATCTATTTTAATATGTTTTTCATCATGTTTAAGTGTTTTTAGAATTAAATACATCTTAAGATATTTCGAATTGTATATCAAAGATTGAATTATAGTTTTCCCGTGCTAATAGAAAATCAAATTTGAGTCTATTAAATTATTTATATAACCAACTCAATATTACCAAATGTTCTTATTATTTTTTCTCTCATTTCTATGCATTTTTGCTTATTTGAAGAGAGAGATATTTCCAGAGAAAAGTTTGTCAAGAAAAGTTAGTCGAGGATAGGACTTATTCGTGTTAGAATGTAGATTATAGAGTTCTGTGGGTGTTAGCGTTGAAGGAGGTCATTTTTTGGTCTTTGTTGACGATTTATTTTTTTTCTAGGAGTCGGACAAAGTGAGTGTTAGTGGATGTTTGTGATGTTAGCAAAAAGTACTAATACTCAAAGTTATTCGAAAAATATCCACCCGTCTTTTATTTTGAAATGGGCATTAGTAAATAATAAATATTTTATTTATTACTTGAAGTGAAAGTCAAGTAAATATGCCACTCCTAGTTGTGATAAAATACAAAATAAACTCGTGAAAAATAATCGAGGCTCAATAGTGATTCGCAGAGTAATAAGTTTAGATTCAAATTCTTTGAAATATTTGGTTCATAATTGGACATATCGCCTCTCTTGAACAAGAACATGAAGTACTACTTCGAGCAGTCAGAAGTGGTGGACTGTATGGACAGTGCTGATTGATTGCAAGCTGTTTTCTAAGGTTCACATTAGAATATCTAAATAGAAAGGCTCGGTGTTTTTATTAAATAGTTGTCTCTCACAATAATAAAAATAGTTTTGTTGTATGAGCGTATTTATTCAGCGATAGTTCTCAAAACAGAATTCAGAAAATGATAGAAGATTATAGTTGAAATGAGTTCAGTTTATGGTCAAGCGAGTCGAAACGACAAGCATGATTTGTTAAATAGAAGTTCAAACGTTAATTTTCCACCATTTAGGAAATTTCGTAAGCAAATCCAAGTTACCATTTGAAACTTGTGAAGTTATGGATTTATTTACGGCATAATCTCCAGAAAAAGCAGCAGCAAATTGTACTTTGATAGTACTGTTCTTCTGCGTCACAAGAAAATCTTCTAATGAGCACAGGCCATCAGATCGAAAAGGACAGCCACGTATGTGAAGTGGAAGTGTTTTTTCATTGAGTCCCATATGGATGAATTTTCTCTCATTTTCAATATTTAGATTTGAATCGATGAGTATTTCATTGAATTTCGTCATTTTAGAATTGGATGCAGAGCATGTTAGTACTTCAGTGTATCATCGAGCTACAAATGGTGTGATTTGTGAGATTCAAAAATTTTCAGGTGGATTTGGTGCATGTGTAATATTGTAAGGAAGGCCAGTAGGAGAACCTTTGAAGTAGTTCAAACCAAGAGCACTCAATACTCCAACCATGATATTGTCATGAGTCATATCCAAATAGAACGGTTGTCCCAATGGAAAAGTAGTAGGATTATTATCAAGAGTTGAATTCACGGATATGTTACCAACATAGATATACTGATTTTGAAGACGTGCCAAAAGTTCTTGAACATATCCGATATCATGTACTCGACCAGTTGGATTTCCAAAAGAGCGGTTTCCATAGAATCGAAGGGAAAGAGCGTAGTCGAAATCAATCCATTCTTGTTCTGTGAATAAACGACAGAAGTCCGAACTTCCTTGATAGGCTACTTCGTAAGGACAGATGGTTTGCATTGCATAGACATCCATGATAGTCAAGTTGAATTTAGGATCAAGATAATTCGATAATCTTGCAAGAACAGTTTTAAGATAATTGTTAGTAAAGACACCTTGGGTAGTGTCTTCAAAACATCTAATAATGTCATCATCACTATTACGACATGAATCATGTGCAACGAGTGTGTTGTTTTCTGTTCCATCTTCTGGTATGACTAAGAGGTCATAACTCGTACTAGATGATCCACCATCTGAATTGTCAAAGAATCCAGAAGCCCACCATCTTGCGGATTCCTAGATCCTCCCTTGATTAGTTGTTCGCAAAAGTGGTTTCGGTCGTAAAGTTTCGTTGGAAAAGATGTTGAGATTATCGATCCATCGAACTGATTCACTCATTTCCTTATACAAGAGATGTCCATATTGTGTCCAAAACGTAGATCCAGCAGAGAATGACGTCTGTGCACCGACTGTAGTCAATGTATGAAAACCTAATTTATATTGATATTTATTGAGAAAAGCAAGTGGACCGGTTGCGCTGAGTTTTCTCTGAATAGAAGCGTTTCCAACTTTATAAGCAAATCGTTGTGTATTTCCACCGTCATTGAAGGCTGTCGTAGGAAATCGTTGACCATGTCGATGTAAGATATGAACTTGAGACACTTCACAGTTTGAAGGAATTCCAATATCTTGAATCCCAAAACTATCTGCTGGATGATATGGAGATAGGTGACCCCAATGACGAGTCATATCAAAGTCATTTGCTGAATGATATGAAGATTTGTTACCCCAATGACGAGTAATATCAAATCCATCTACGTATGACAACCTAAAGAAAGTAAGATTAGGTTTAAATAGCTTGATCCTGAGAACCAAAAAACTGAAGCAATTGCATAGATACTCACAAGTGAATGAGACTTATACCCAAGGGGGAAACAGCTGATTATTTGATTAGATATGATTTTAAGTGATTAGCAGTGATTATTATTGATTAGGAGTGATTAGGAGTGGTTAGAAGTGATTAGAAGTGATTAGGAATGATTAGGAGTGATTAGAAATGATTAGGAGTGATTAGGAGTGATTAGGAGTGATTAGAGTGAATAGGAGTGATTAGAGTTTATTAGAAAAATGAATAAAAGTCATATATTATTTCAAGTCCCTATGCTTCTGTACTTGCGTTGTATACACAAAACGAAACTGTTTTAAGCCATTTAGTAGGTTATGTTGCGATTAGATATCATTACCTATCTTAAAGTACACGAGACTTTTGCCTTAACTCTTTTGTATTGTTTTTCAATTAATGGATTTTAAGAAGAAGTAACACGAACTATCAACAAGTACATATATTTCTAATTTCAAGAAAAAGTTTATGCAAAGAAAAGGAAACAATTCATCATTTTTTTGATGTTCGAATAACTCGTGATAATCTATCAATAGATACGCTATTATTATCTCTTGTAAGAAGATAACAAGCCGTGGACTTATGTAAGAACTTATTCATATCATTGATTTTAATCTTGAAATATGATTTCTCTTAAACAGCTGATACACTGTCTTTGATATTTAATCCATCAAAACTTGTTTGAAATGTTTTCAATTGTTTGTCATCCATATTGTCATCATCATCATCATTAGGGGTGTAACTTTAACTTTTAAAGTTAAAGTAAACCACTTTAAAACTTTAACTTAACCAAATAAAGTTAAAGTACATATCGTCCAATGGACGGACTGATACGTCCTCAACTACTATTCTATGGGGATACTCATAAGTACTCAATGGCTATCCGAGTGAGGTACCCATAAGTCCTCAAGGGCTATCCGAGGGGCAGGGATGTGACAATACCAATACCACCAATACCATTTGGTATTGGTATTGGTATATGTGGAGGGGGCTACTGGTCCCTCAGCTCAATCTCAATGTATCGAAAAAACGATCACGGATTCGGATTTCTCGACTCCGAAACCGTTTGATCAAACTTTATAAAAAATCGTTATTTTCTCAAAACAACGCATTCCTGATGAAAAAAATAAAGTCGCAAATTTTGAGAAGTTAATTACAAATTCTTGATTTTTTCATCAGAAATACGTTGTTTTGAGAAAATACCGATTTTTCATAAAGTTTGATCAAAGGTGTTCAGGGTCGAGGAATCCGAATCCGTGATCGGTTTTTCGATACATTGAAATCGAGCTGAAGGACCAGTAGCTCCCTCCCCATATATCAATACTAATACCGACCAATACCAATACCACCCAACACCAATACCAAATGGTATTGGTATTGTTACATTCCTACCTCTCGGATAACCGTTGAGCACCTATGAGTACCCTCCTCGAATAACCTTTGAGGACCTATGGGTACCCCTTCGGATAGCCCTTGAGGACCTATAAGTACTCCCTCGGATAGGCCTTGAGTATATATGAGTACCCCCTCGAATAGCCCTTGAGGACCTATGAATACTCCCTCGGATAGCCCTTGAGGATCTATGGGTATCCTCCGTCGGATAGCCGTTGAGGATCTATGAATACCACCTTGGATAGCCCTTGAGGACTTATGGGTACCCCCTCGGATACCCATTGAGTACTTATGGGTATCTCTATAGAATCGTAGTTGAGGCCGCATCAGTCCGCCCATTGGACGATATATACTTTAACTTTATTTGGTTAAGTTAAAGTTAAAGTTTAAAGTAACACTTTAACCCCTTGACCGTTAACGACGAGTATACTCGTCACAGCAATCTTTATGGAAAAGATGAAGACTACAATTTCTTAACTTTGTTTTTCTTGTATGCTCTGTACCAGCTCTAACATCCTGCATCTACTGGAGCTCGCTCTACCGCTTCTGATATTTCGTATCAATTATGTTCTCGTCAATGAAAAGTTATTTTGCGAAAAGTTTACTATTTAATTTCAAAAAAACTTAACAGTCAAGGGATTAAATTTTATACTTTTTTAGTGTTTTTAAAGTTAAAGTGTCACCCCTACTTATATGGTATTTTAACCTTTATTTGTAAACTACACTCTTACTACTTTCTTTTTTAGGATACGAATATACGTGGACAAATTTTAACATAGAAGGAAACGAAATATTTTTCTGTTTCGTTCGAAATGCATCATATACTAATCTTTCTCTTGTAGATTAGAAAGCTCGAATTTTTATAAAATAAGTAGTTTTGTAAAAAATGTCCTCGTATTAACAATACATTGGTATACATATTTATACAGAAGAAACTTCTGTTTGATTGTGAATCTCTTTTATAATATTATCCATTATACTTAACTAAAAGTGATTAGATTTGGTCACTGTTTGATTAGCAGCGATTAGTAATGATTAGGAGTGATTAGTAATGATTAGGAGTGATTATTATTGATTAGGAGTGATTATCATTGATTAGGAGTGATTAGGAGTGATTATTATTGATTAGGAGTAATTAGGAGTGATTATTATTGATTAGGAGTGATTAGGAGTGATTAGGATGATTAGCGGATTCCTAATCAGCTGTTTCCCCCTTGCTTATACCAGTGATCAAAGTTAACCAAACCATCGTAATGTTGAAGATTTATTATCGATCTAAAAAAAAAACATACGAACTTCTTAAAACTTATGAAAAAGTTCATGTAAACCCAGAACCAACACTCAGAGAGAGAGTGCTCGAGTGCGATCCTCTAGTCTTGCTTGGTTTAAGATATACTATAGAGCAAAGAGTTTTATGAATTTTTTCACGGAAAATTCTAACAATGGTAATCCTCTGCGAAGTTAGAATACTGGCGTCAAGACTAAGCATTGTGCCTTTGAAATGACTCGTGTATAATGTTTTTTTTTCTATTTAGACCAATTAGTAATCCGTTGATGTCGTCCAAATTTTGCATCTAAGCAAAATCAATGGACACTTTTGCAGCTTGTTCTTCTTCATTGCGTACAATCCAAACTTTTTTGTATTTGAACTCATCGGGTTTTATTACTGATTATTCATCACTATTGCATGACATGAAGTGTAATCATAAATTCAAAAAATCTAAAATAGAAAATGTTTGTAAAATTATATTTGGAGCTTCCTCATCATTACTTTCAATCATATGAGTTGGCAAAAACAAAAAAAAGGGTCTAACTGTAAGTATCTCAAAAGATTCTTATTTGATTTAATCAAAAACTTTCTTTTTGTCAGAACAACAAAAAGTTATTTATCATAAACTCGAACGAAAAAGAAAAAATGACTTTTAATCGAATTCAACGAAAGATACGTTAGGGTGCTTTTTTTTGGTTCGTAAAAAAGCGCTTTCCAATCAAACTTCTTTGAAGAGAAAAACCAGAGTGTTACCATAGCATAAGTCTAGTAAAAAAAAAACTTCTCTTGTACAGGAATAAAGGTTCCGGAGACATTCCTGAGTATCGAACCTTTAGAAGGATTACAAGAAAAATGATTGCATGCAAGTAATGTTCTACTGAAACGTTACCTGAATACAACACAAAACAATTCGTATATAATGATGCGCTACTGTTTCTTTCGACTACCGAACTATTCATTCATTTTCAAATAGACTTTACCTCTCATCTTTAATATTATAATGAATATAAATTAAAAATTAGTGATAAATTTATGTTCTATTATGAAATTATTATGAACTTGAAAAAAAAATTTTCTCGTTCTGTTCGAGTTTCTATCCCTACGGTAACACTATTGAATATCGAGTCCTCGGAAATATTCTTCTATCGATCATTCATATTTGATTACTCGAAGAGAGAAGATCTATGGATAAGATACGTTCGATTGCTCGATGCAATTTCGATCATTCCAAGTTCATCGAAACTTCTAGTGCTCGCCGAGAGCAAATCTATCGAAAATAAAATTTTTGATTGTTCGGTTTAAGTTTTATTACACAAAACTTGTTCAAAATTCGATTTTCTACTTTTATTCATTGATGTCACTGCAGGAATATCTTTCCATTATACATTTCTACGTAGTCTCAAGATATAAATAAAAAATATTTATTATCTAGATTTAAAACCATATTACACATATGTGTACATTTTTGATGAAAAGATAATCATAATGAATTATTAGTTTTTAAATTTTCCATAATAGTGAAGCTCTT